CCACATGAGCATCTCAGTAGACACAGAAAAAAAGCATTTAACAAAATCTATCAACCATTCCTAATAAAAATTCTCAGTAAAATGGGAATAGTAGAGAACTTTCTCAAACTGATAAGGGGCATCTATGAAAAACCTATGGCTGACATCATACTTAATGGTGAAACTCTGGATGCTTTGTGCCTAATATCAGGTACAAGAAAAGATGTCTTCTCTCATGGCTTCTATTCAGCATTGTACTTGAAGTTCCAGCCAGTGCAGTCAAGCAAGAAAAAGAATAAAAGTCATCCAGATTGAAACAGAAGAACTAAAACTGTCAGTACTCGTGAACAACATGAGCATCTATGTAGAAAATATGATAGAACCTATCAAAAAAAGCCATTACAACTAATGAACATCAAAATTTAAAATACCTGGAGATAAATCTCATAAGTCTGATACCTGTATGCTGAAAACTACAAAACATTGCTGAGAGAAAGAGGACCTCAATAAATGGAGGAATGTATTATATCTTGTTCGTGGTTTGGAAGACTCAATACAATGAAGATATCAGTTATCCCTAAATTGATTTATATATAGATTCATTATATCCTAATCAAAATTCCAGCCAGCTTTTTTAAATAGAAATTCACAAACTGATTATAAAATGCATTTGGAAATACAGAGGATCTAGAACTACTTTGAAAAAGCAACATCTTTATTCATAATAGCCCCAGACTGGAAGCAACCCAAATGTTTTTCAAACTGTGGTTACATCCACATAGCAGAATACTACTCATCATAAAAGGAACAAACTATTATGCAACAACATGGTTGAATTGCAGATGCATCATGCTAAGTAAATAAGTGAGTCTCAACTTTGAGTCTCATACTGTATGTTTCCATTTATATGACATTCTGGCAAAGACAAATCTATAGCAATGGAGAACAGATTAACCATTGCCAGGGTTTTGAAGTTGGGAAAGGAATTGGTAATAAAGGGGTTACTTGAAGGAATTTTGAGGGGTGATGGAACAGGTCTAAATATTTGTTATGGTTGTTACAGAGCTCTATACATTTCTTAAAATTAATAGAATTTGCCAGGTAGTGGCACACACCTATAGTCCCAGCTGCACTGCGGGCTGAGACAGGAGGATGACTTGAGCCCAGGAGTTGAAGGAACCCTGGGCAAAATAGTGAGACCCAGTCTCTTAGATAAAATTAAATTAAACTGATAGAACTCCACACACAAAATAAGAATGTGTTTAGTATGTAAAGTGAAAAAAATAAAATAAAAATTGTCATGAAGTGATAATGGATATCTGGGATTCTTTATGCCAGTGGTCTCCAACCTTTTTGGCACCAGGGACCGGTTTCATGGAAGACAATTTTTCCATGGACTGGGGCATGAGAGGATGGTTTGGGGATGATTCCAGCTCATTACATTTATTGTGCACTTTATTTCTATTATTGTAATATATAACAAAATAATTATACAACTCACCATAATGCAGAACCTAATGCCGCCACTGATCTGACAGGAGGCGGAGCCCAGGTGGTGATGGGAGCGATGGGAGCAGCTGTAAATACAGATGAAGCTTCCCTTGCTCACTTACCTCCCACTCATCTCCTGCTGTGCAGCCTGGTTCCTAACAGGCCATGGACTGATACAGGTCCATGGCCCAGGGGCTGGGGACTGAAGCTTTATACTGTTAACTCTACTTCTGTGTGTGTTTGAAAATTCCCTTCCCTGCTGCTGTGACTGATATTTAGTATCGAAACCTGATAGAAAATTAGTCTTCAATGAATAACATTCACCTGATAGAACATCAGTCTTCAATGAATAACATTCATAATTAAAGGCAGCTGTTCTGCATTGTGTAAGATGTCCTCTCACCTGCATGTGGCCCAAGGGCCATAGTTTGACCCCATCTTTTGTAATTTAAGGTGATGAATTTAATCTTTGCTCCCTTCCCTGTTGCTGTGACTGATAATTAGTATTGAAACCTGATAGAAAATTAGTCTTTAAAAAGCCAAAAAGAAACTATGATGGTAGAAGAGATCCACAAGAATAGAAATCCAAATATTGCATGCCCAGGGATAAAGGACAGGGGAATGAAATGGAAATTATAGAAAAAAGAGAAAAGATTGGTCAAGGGAGTACCATGAAAATAATGTCTTGGAAGCCAAAGGAGCTAGGAATTTGGGAAGTGGGGAATAGGCAGGAATAAAGTGTTGGCAGTGTGAAAAGGCAAATGTTAAGAAGCATAAGAGAAGATAAAGAGATCATTGGTAACTTGATAAGCTTTCTTGGGATATTAAATATAAAAGCAGATAAGAGATTAAGAAAAGAAGTAGTGGTAGTGAAATGGAAGCAGAATGAACTGTTCTTTACAAAATTAGTTTTTGAAAGATTTTCAATAGAAAGTAGAAACTGGCTCACTACAAGAGAAAATTGCATGCTTTAGAGCAGGGGTCCTCAAACTTTTTAAACAGGGGGCCAGTTCACTATCCCTCAGACCGTTGGAGGGCCAGACTATTTTTTAAAAACTATGAACAAATTCTTGTGCTCACTGCACATATCTTATTTTGAAGTTAAAAAACAAACGGGCAAAAACACCCACATGTCGCCCGCGGGCCGTAGTTTGAGGACGCCTGCTTTAGAGTGACCCAATCTTTTGTAATTTAAGGTGATGAATTTAATCTTTGCTCCCTTCCCTGTTGCTGTGACTGATACTTAGTATTGAAACCTGATAGAAAATTAGTCTTCAATGAATAACATTCACCTGCTAGAACATCAGTCTTCAATGAATAGCATTCATAATTAAAGGCAGCTGTTCTGCATTGTGTAAGATGAGGTCATCTCACATCTTTCTTTCTCTTTGCTACTCCAGTTTACTGTCTAGTACCTGTACTTTTTTTTTTTTTTACATATTGAGCTTGTGTAAGGATTCTTTAGAAGAAGGTTTAGTCCTCTTTCATGAAAAGTTTAAAGACTACAATTTTAAAGTATTGCTAAATATAAGGACTGTTTCCACATATTTAAATGCAGAGGACATAGTGAAATAGATTAGCTTCCACATATAGAACTGAAAATAACTATTGGAAGAAGAAGCATACCTCAGTGACAGCAGTGAAGTATGATGTAATTACTGCTAGTCAGGAAGCTAACAGTGTAGATTAGACTAAGGAGTCATGAAAAGTTATCAAGGTTAGAATTTAGCCAAATAATAAAGTTGAAGGGTAACCCTCCAATATCATAAAAGGTCTCTGGTTTAAAATGAATTTTAAAATGTTCCAGTCGATATTATATAAATTTCAAAATCCATAAGCAAAAATATTAGCTTTAATAACAAAATATTGATGTAGTTATAAGTATCAAATAGGCTTTTTAAAAAATCTGTTACATACAAAAATGATATATACTTGTAATCTGGCTTACTTTTTTTACTCACATTTAGAGGAAATTTTGAAACAATACATCAGACATGAAAATAATATCAAGTGTCATTTCATTTACAGGTCTGCATTACATTTACTGAATTTGGAAAAATGCAAAATATTTGTAACTTTCTTGTTGAAAAGCTAGATAGCTCTGTCATCATCAGCCCACCACAGTTCTATCATACTCCAGGTTCTGTTGAGACTCTTCGGTAAGTTTAAGTACATCTTTAACTAAGTTACTAATTCTTTAAACAAAATTATTCATTGTCACAGCGTTAAATGTCATATTAATACTCTCTGCATTTAATTCCTAAGACGGCAAGCCTGCCTTGTTGCTGTTGAGAATGCATGCCGAAAAGCTCAAGAAGTCTGTAACCTTGTTGGCCAAACCCTAGGAAAACCTTTGCTTATCAAAGAAGAAGAAACAAAAGAATGGGAAGGCCAAATAGATGATCATCAATCATCCAAACTCTCTAGTTCATTAACTGTACAACAAAAAATCAAAAGTGCAACAATACATGCTGCTTCAAAAGTATTTATAACTTTTGAAGTAAAGGGAAAAGAGAAGAAAAAAAAGCATCTTTGAAATTTCAACCAAAATATATTGTATTTGCTTCTTTTTATCTATTTTTATACTTTTATAATGTTTGTTTTTGTCCTGAATATATAAATTGTATAGTAGATAAGCTGTTTCTCTCTAAAATCTATAAATCCTTGAATATAGTCCCACAGAATACTTATGTTCACTTTGTTTCTATTTTATTACTTTATCATAAGAATATAATCTTTTAATCAGAAAAGTACAATCTGGCTATAACACTTTCCTACATTCTATTATAATTGTATTATTTCTTATAGCCAATATCATTTTTCTACAAATGATCCTTTTCTAGTTTTGTACATGTTTGAAATGAATATAAGTTGGATAAAATGTTTAGAAAAAATTTCAGGATCACAGTTTTTATGAAGTGACATATGCTTTATGGGTCAATCACCTCTGGAACACTTTGGAGTTTTCTTTCTATAAAGTCACAATTGGTCTATTCTAATAGTAAAAAGAATTCTAAAGCCCTATATACCCATATTCAACATGTAAATGTGATTTTATAATATTTTAATATGGTTTTCTGATGTCCCTGGAGTTCATAAAACTGCAAATAAAATAATGAAGTTTCTCAGAGTAAAATTCAGATTTAGGGAGGCTAAAAAGCTGACCACATTCTCTACCTCAGTCCTGATGTGAAACATGATGTCTGTATTAAATACCAGTAGTAACTCAGTGATTTCTTTCTTCCACGAGTTAAGTATATGCTGATAAGGAGCTAGAAGTAACATTTATGTATGCTAAAATAAATCTTCTTATCTTCAGGTACATAGAAGTTTGAATATTCTTTTTTTCTGAATATCCTAGTTGATTTTCCAAATACATAGGGTAATGACAGGTGAAAGAAAGTGGACAAAGAACAAACTGAGATCACTTTTCTATTATCTTCTTACTTCATTTTCCTTGAGTTAAAGCTAAAAAGTAAATATTTTTCAGAAATTACAGTCTGTTAACTAAGGTTACTAAGACCTTATTTTTCTCCAAAATTGGTTTGCCTCCATTTGCTTATCAGTGGTCAAAGCCAGTTTTTAATAAGATTTTAAGAGTTCATGTTTGTTCTTAAAGCTATTAATAATTATAAATATGAAAATCACTAAAATATTGAAAATTATTATACTAATCTCAATAAGTAGATGGATGTAGTGTTATAATTTATTGAATCACCTTCCTCTACCCCCCCCTCCACCCTAAGAAAATGATAAGGGGGGATGATTTAATTATACAACTTCTACTGCAAAAGGAAAATGCATACTGCTCTTAGATTAATTTTTTTCAAATATTTACAAGTGATTGTATGTCACTGTTCTAGAAGATTTCTATTTCAGGACTTTACTTTTCAACATCAATGATAAAATGTGCGTATGTCATTTTATACCTATCTTTTGTCAAAAGCCACTATATTGTTTAATCACATTATTTTCTGCCCTGAAATCCCAAAATATTATTTTAAATGATGGGTAAAGGTCTCCTCTGAAGGATGGTAGCTAATTTTTTCAAGGATGAAAGCAATAAGACAGAATTACAGCACAGTACAACCTTTTTATTCTTAGAATACTTTGAGCAAAATCATTGTCATATCCCTGAGAGATGGGAATGCTGTGTTGTTGATAGAGCTGCTAGCAGAACATAGAGCTGCAAAACCATCACTACACTATTTGCAGACATCTCCGCAATGATAGGTCTTCCAAGATGCATCTGCATGTAGTATGTCAGGAAAAAAGAAGAAAAACAAGTTTCTTAACTTTGATGTGCAAATTCTTTTAGAAACATTTACATCTAAAATACTGTGTGTTTTTTCAATTGCTAATGCCCGAGTCAGTTACTAATTTTTATTTTTAGTATTGGATTGAAAACTAATTAGAAACATCACCAGATCATGAAGTTTCTTCCCAGCCATATTTATTATTCTTAAATGATAAATAGCATAACTTATTTTCTTCATTTCAATCATCAAATTTTCCACAAAACTTGGGTTCACATAACTTGTATCTTACATTTGTGTGCCCACATACAATCTCACTTGATATTTGTAATAATAAAGAGGAAGTCTAGTGCGGCGTGTGGCTCAAGCCTGTAATCCTAGCACTCTTGGGAGGGCCGAGGCGGCGGATTGCTCGAGGTCAGGAGTTTGAAACCAGCCTGAGCAAGCAAGACCGGTCTCTACTATAAATAGAAAGAATTAATTGGGCCAACTAATTATATATATTAAAATTAGCCGGGCTGGTGGCGCATGCCTGTAGTCCCAGCTACTGGGAGGCTGAGGCAGAAGGATTGCTTGAGCCCAGGAGTTGAGGTTGCTGTGAGCGAGGCTGACGCCAGGGCACTCACTCTAGCCTGTGCAACAAAGCGAGACTCTGTCTAAAAAAAAAAAAAAAAAAAAAAAAAGAGGAAGTCTAGGTTGGTAAGAAAAGTTTCCTTCACTAGGAATAGAAGATCCTTTCTCAAGCGGGAATTGAAATTCTGGAGAGGCTGGGCGTGATGGCTCACGCCTGTAATCCTAGCACTCTGGGAGGCCGAGGCGGGTGGATTGCTCAAGGTAAGGAGTTCAAAACCAGCCTGAGCAAGAGCAAGACTCCATCTCTACTATAAATAGAAAGAAATTAATTGGCCAACTAATATATATAGAAAAAATTAGCCGGGCATGGTGGCACATGTCTGTAGTCCCAGCTACTCGGGAGGCTGAGGCAGAAGGATTGCTTGAGCCCAGGAGTTTGAGGTTGCTGTGAGCAAGGCTGACCCCAGGGCACTCACTCTAGCTTGGGCAACAAAGCAAGACTGTGTCTCAAAAAAAAAAAAAAGTGATAGATTATCAAGAACATATTGAAAGTCTACTGTGTCCACTACAGTCCAGGATATTGTGGAATACTCCAGAGAAATATAAATCCTAGAATTTAGCTCAGGAATCAGCATCAGAACAGAACAGAATCCCCCGAGTAAAATATTCATGGAAAGTATTATTAGCTTGGTGATAACATTTGACAGAAAAATTGACTTCCGTTCAATAGTTACTGTTTGAATAATTATACATTTACATATGTGGACCTAGATTGTGCAATAGCTACAAAATACAAAACAAATTGAACAGGTTGTAACAAAGGGAAACGTGATATCAACAACAAACCGAAAAGTGCAGACAAAATAAGAGGCATAAATCAAACCAAAAATAACCTTGACGAGGACTAACACTTGCCTTCCCCAGGCTCAAAGAGGAGTTTGCCTTTGCCGTCATACGTGTGCCCTTTCCTTCCTCCCCGCAAAATATCTAGATTGACGGCGTGCGGAGGCCCGGAGCGCCAGCCCGCGGCCCCCTTGTAGCTTGTGTCCGGAGCTGTTCCCCCGGTGCGTCCCGAGGTGTCATCGAGGACGAACGCAGACCTTGGGGAAGCCTGTGGGTCGGGGCGGGAACCAAGAGCCGCCTCAGTGCAGCGGCCAGGGCCTTTCCTGCGGTGGAGGGGACCAGGCTCCCCGCGCTCACCTCGCGCTGGCGCGGGCGCGGCTCAGGGACCGCGGAGGCTTGCGTCGCGCTGGTGGCGGGCGGGAGGGCGCGAGCACACACCAACCAACCTCCGCCAGCGGCGGTCCCGGGAGCCCCCGCGCAGGCAGCGCCGCTGGGTGCGCGCGTCTGAGACAACTGGGCCGCCGCCACTCACCCCAGCGGGGGACGTTAGCTCGCCGCCCGGACGCCGCGCGGGCGTACATTAATGCACCTTCTCCGCCTCTGTTGTCTTGGGGCTTCAGACTCTTCCCTGGCGGTGGACGAAATTTACTGCAGTCATGCCCTAACAAGCCTTATTCATCAAACGTGCCATGCGCCCCACATCTCTCCGAGGTCTTAGCACTTAGCTCCTTTGCCCACGAGTGCCAAGGGGCGGGATGGCCTTCATCTCCTCCGCATCCCTCCTCCGCCTTCTGCTAGCAATGGCTGTAGATTAGACCCCTTTCCCCGTCTTTTTCTCTCAGGCCTCTACTTCATTCCTTTCACGACTGCCTGAGACCAGGCTGCCCCCTCCGCTGATCACCACTCCGGTGTCAAAATCAGGTCACCATAAATCCATTCCTGGACACAGGAACCTGACTTAAACGCAGCTCTGATTGCAGCATTCCTCCCAGCTAAAAGCTTTTTGGTGGCTTCTGATGGCCAACAGCATCAAGGTCAACAGGCTCTGCTCCCTTCAAGGCACCTCCAGATCCAGTCGGTTGCTCTCTCCAGTATCACCCCTTCTCATGTGCTCCATGGGAACTGAACGCACCTCTCCTTGCCCTCATTGCCTCTGCAGCTCATCTGGCTAATTTACTCTCCTTTAAGTTAAAAATGCACAACATCACATCCTCCAGGAGTGCCAACCTTAGCTGAGTTAGATGACCCTCTTGTGTCTTCACAGCACCTGCATGTTTCTCTGCATTGTAGCAAAGGTCACTACTCCAACTATTTAGTTTACATGATTGAAGACCAGGGACAACTGACTCCTCCCATGCTCTTGTCCCCATTGTAACTTCTTCTGGGACAACCTCCCAGGAGAAGATTTCCTTCTTATTTTTAATGGAAAACTTGGGTGATAAGAGGTTCATTTTCACATCTGATCATATTTAGACGATTTGCAGTAAGTGAAGAGGGACAGGGGTAGGTTTTGATGACAAGAAAGAAGAAAAAGAGCAAACCCATTTTGAAACATAACTATTTTGATGTATATCCTCATAGGAATTGCTTGAGTTACTATAGCAATTATATTGGTACAATAATGTATCTCGAAGTCATTCCAAGCCACTAAATTGAAGAGTTTTAATTAAGTAATTACTTCAGTTAATTAATTAATTAAGTTAATTAAGTAACATGATCAGAATTGGATTTAGTGGAAACACACATCACATATACACACATACACACCACCACCACCACCAGCAGCAACAGCACAGGTAATGAGTTGCAGTGGTACAAAAGCAAACACAGGAAATAATTTCCATAGGGTTGTTATTAATAGCAAAAGGTGGAAACAAACACCATGTCTACTGGCAACAGAATAGTAAGGTTGTGATGTTTTCACACAATAAATATATGGCAATGAAAACGAATGAATTATACTTTGTATAAAAACATGAATAAATATTACAAAATTATTCCTGTGTGTGTGAAGAGACAAAGAGTATGCCACTAAAACTGTGGAAAAAATGTGTTCACGCTCAGGCTCCTGATTTGTCAAAGAGAAATATGCTATCCATGTTTACACTTGTATACAATATTTGCAATTCATAAGGCATCTATAAGCACACGTATAACTGTTATATGAGCATAGTCCAAAAAAAGCATGATTGATGACACAAAAGTCATTACTGAGGAGATGAATGCATCTTTAAAATAGAGTTTAGGACAAAAAGTGATGAGAATGAACTAATAAATGCATATTTAAAGTGAAACACTAACTTTTTTCTCTATCAACATTTCAACTACTTATGTCAAAGGAATATAAAAGAGGCATTTGTTAGAATTCTTGGAAAAATACTGATATTGGGTAAAATAAAGAGCAGCAAATAGGAAGTGAACAGATGATATACTGTTATACTTTTGACATTTTTAGCTGTTCCTTAGTAACCACAAGGTGACAGAATATAGAACCTGTACTTGTAATCATCACAATATTATACTAAGCTAAATGCTTGAGTCATATGAAGTGTTCCAGAATAAAATTTCATTGGTAATACAGATAATTTTAACCATTTCTCTAAATTAAAAGAAACTTGTTTAATTGGAGATTAACAAGTTAATGAATTCA